CGGAGCCAAAAATGGACAAAAGGAATGAATACATACACCATGAGAGAAGGCAGCTTTCCGCTCCCATCTGTGTCCTGCTGTAGGATTGTGGTGATGATTGCCAGCTAAGGTTGCCACCCCCAGACCAGTCTTCCTTGGAACAAATTGTCTTGGCCCTCTTCTCCTCTTGTGAAGCAGTCACCGCTATGTTGTCAAGCACCATTTCAAATATGAATTTCTAAGAAAAGATCTTAAAAATAAATGTTATCTCTCATCCGGATAAGTAGAGCTTATTTTTCTTCTGTTTTATCCACCAGACACCCAGACATCTAAATTTATCTAGCAGGATTATGCCTTTTTACAGTCATCTCTCATTTTCAGCCTATGAAACTTCACCTCATATTTCACTGCATCATTCTTTCAAGAAACATTTGCACATGGGTGGAGCTGGAGAAACTCAAACCAGGATAACAATCCAGGCTTCTTCCTTATTTATCTCCCGCAATGTGCTTTCCCCTGTGCCTAATTTGTCTTTTTCAGTTACTCCCTCATTTTCCCAAAGCTTGCCAGCAACTATTATGAGACTTTGGAACACGAACTAAAGAGACCCATATTTCTGGATAGAAGGCTCTTAAAAAAAACCACACCCTAAGTACAGTGAAAGTCTTGTCGTACAGAGAATCATTTTTGGCAGGGGCATTACGAGTGATGTTCTATAATCTACGGCTTGCAATTGTTGCCAGCTTTTTAGCCAGCCTCTCTAGCTATTCCTTTTTTTGTGCAGGCATTCGAAGGAGATAAGTGATAATGGTTGATCAGTAAAAAGGCACAGGGACAAAGTTTTTCTTGGTTAGTTGGCAACCCTAAGTTCTAGAGAACCATAAAATGCTGTGATTACTTTATAGGAAGATTGAGGCCCCTCCAGAGATCTTTTTTGTGTGCATTCATGATGATTTGTGCTCATGGTGCTATTGGGGCAGTCACACTCAATCCAGCTTTCAGTACTGTTGGCTCCTGCAAAAGTTTTGGGGTAGTCACACTGCTTGTTTTTCCAATCAGTATGTATCCCATAATGACCTGCTGAAATCCCATAACTAACTTGTTTGTTTGTTTGCTTGTTGAATTTATATACCGCCCTATACCCGGAGGTCTCAGGGCAGTTCACAGAACAAAATCAAAATACAAAATCATAAAATATATAATCAAAATAAAAGCCCAATAACCCCACCCCCCAAAACCCCATAAAGTGGTACCTGGTTACAGACTTAATTCATTCCGGAGGTCCATTCTTAACCTGAAACTGTTCTTAACCTGAGGTACCACTTTAGCTAATGGGGCCTCTTGCTGCCACTGCACCACCAGCACACAATTTCTGTTCTCATCCTGAGGTAAAGTTCTCAACCCAAGGTACTACTTCCGGGTTGGCAGAGTCTGTAGCCCAAGGTGTTTGTAACCCGAGGTACCATTGTACAGTATTTTAAAAGGGCGTAGGATGTCAATCAAATCAACTCAAGGCCTGGTAAAAAAGGAACATTTTACCTTGCGCCCAAAGGTGTATAATGAAGGCGCCAGGTGGACTTTCCTGGGGAGAGCATTCCACAGACAGGGAGCCACTGCAGAAAAGGCCCATTCTCATGTTGCCACCCTCTAGTTCTCTCGAGCATTTTATAAACGTTCTGGTTTATATTTGTTCTGCTTTTATTGTCCTATTCTTATGTTTGTTGTTTGTTTGTTTATTCTATCTGCAATTATTTTAACTATATAAAGCACAAACATGCATTAAAACCAGCATTTTAAAAAATCTAATTTTAAAAACTCAATGAAAACACCCCACCCACATAAAAAGGCCATAGATAATTAAAAGCCAAAGGGATGGTTTTGCCTGGCGCCTAAAGGTATGTAATGATGGCACCAGGTGAGAGCCTTCCATAAGCAGGGAGCTACATCAAAGAGAGTGGCATTGCAAAGGAGCAGATGAGATTCAGAGCTTTCGCAAAGGAAAAGGGAACATTAAATGCAACTTGTTGCTGTGGCATCAAAGCAAAACTGATGCAATGGGTGGCCTGGCATTCGCTGGTGAGGATTAGCTTTGCGTAATTGATATCGTATGAGGGACAGAGTAGGGTAGCGCCCCACCACCCACGTGCTGGAAAGATCTGAAGCAAGGGACATGTTGCGTATGTGTATGTAGGACCCTGCAGGACCAGGGTTCAAAAATGCTTGGGGAGTTGATACAGAAGGTCCTCCCCATCGCCTGTCCCATTCCCCCACACTTTCAGGTTTTGTATTGATAGCAAGGTGCGAGGGTCAGCAGGAATGAGAGCAGTGAATACAGGCTTGCTCTCTCCTTCATACAGAGTATCTGAAGAAGTGTGCATGCACACGAAAGCTCATACCAAGAACTAACTTAGTTGGTCTTTAAGGTGTTACTGGAAGGATTTTTTTTTGTCTCTCCTTCATGTGAGGGTAAATCACACGAGCGAATAAGCTGCTTGAATACGGAAGGGCTGTGCGATGTCTGTACCAAAATGCACTGTACTTCTGCCAGCTTGCTCCCTCTACACGTCCATACACACACACAAATATATTTCCTGTTAAAGGGGGGGGGGGCGAGGAGAGAGAAAAGGCTGCACTGCTTTCAAGGACAGACTGGCACCTCTGTGTATAATCTTTGACATGCAGAAGAATTTCTGCCAGGTCTGAGGAAATGGATTTTGGAGCCTGGAAAAATTCCTTGGGGGTGGGGGAGAGGGACAATGACAAGGCCGATTATGAAGTCGGCATTCCACGGTATCCATTTCTCTAGAATATTTCCTTTTAGGACAACTTCATTTTTGGCGCCACCAGTACATTTTCCCCCTTCTTTAAATACAGAGTCACACTGGATCATTTTCTGAAGATTAAAGGCAAGAATTTGTTACGTTTTTGAGCACAATTATCGGAGTATTTGTGCCATGTCAACTTGGAAGTGTTCTCTGTTCTTCACCTTTTTAAAAGACCAACATTACATTTGAATTAATTTTATAGGCCCTTTTCTCAATGGGCCTGCCCTCTCATGAATGAGCAGCAGAACAAGATTGCAGCGATCTCTCTCCCCCCCCCCCCTTTCCTTCCTCCTAGGACACTTTTTATTTTTCACCATGGAAACCATCTACAAAGTATAGCAGCAAAGATGTGGAAACTAGGACCACATTCTCAAAATAACTCTTAGGTCTTTCTGGGTACAGAGCGCCTATAAAAACGAGCTTGGATATCAAGTCACCAGTGTATTGCAATCTCATGAATGCTCAGTTTATGTTTCCTTGTTTATCTTGCAGCAAAACAAATTCTTCAACAACCAGAACGAAGACAGCACTGTGTTTCTTTATCTTAACCTCTTACCAAGATAATATAGCTTTAAATGTGTCATTTATCATCGCATACTTTAAGCAAGTATCTTATCACAGTGAAAGATGGCTGCTCAGTTCCCTTCTAAGTATAAATGCGCTTTGGACACTTGGCTAGCTTACGGTCTTGATCTATCCAATTAATCTTTACATTTTAGAACCAGAAATGAGAACATGGGTATGAGAACATCTAGGAAAAGTGCTGGCCATTGTTTAGAGAGCACCAATCAGCATTCTTAATGCCATTCCTCTTCTGGAATAATCCCTGTTGTTTGGCATTAGCATAACTGAGTTGTTCCTTGTTGGTTGACCCATCCTAGCTGCTTCTCATTCTACGGAGCTGTGATCACTGGTTTGCCAAGGTTAACACATTCATGTGGTTACAGAGCTTAATATGATACAGGGCTTAGTCTCTGGGATCTATTTTCAATTCTTGAAACAAGCTGTGTTGTTTTTATTAATAGCAAATGAAGAGCACCTTCCCTTTCCCTAGCCCTTGCCCACATATTTTGGAAGAGATGTTCAAATCGCAAAGCATGACTTCCAAGAAAATCTGGGCCTCTGCGCCCATAACTATGTGAAGACATATGGCATGAGCACTGCAGAATTAAAACCTTAACGCAAGCTACTCACTTTAAGCCTCTGCATTCTGTATATCTGTGTTTCCTTTTCTGCACATTCAGTCTGGCAAAGTCTATAGAACAGGAAGCTGCCTTATACTGAATCAGACCATTGGTCCACCTAACACAGAATTATTGACTGACGTCACTTCTCTGTGATTTCAGGCAGGGGTTTCTCTCACTCCTATCTGGAAATGCCAGGGATTGAACCTGGGACCTTGCAAATGCAGAGCTGAGCTATGGAATGCTATGCTGGAGTATAGTCCATCTCTTTCCATTTGTGACATGTAAACATCTGCCTTGTAGTCAGTGGCATTCTAACAAATATTTCAATGCAGTTAATGTATGGCCCTAATGGAACAAAGTTTTATCTCCTGTCACACATCAAAAGTGGTGAAGAAATTCATGGCAAAACAGCAAATACAGATACTTGATTGACCAGGGAATTCCCTGGGTGTGAATCCCATTGAGAATTTGTGGGTTATATGCAAAAGTCGTCTCTGTGCTATATGGAGACGCTGATTCAAGTGTGGTACAGGGATCCGAAAATCAACAATGACTGTTCAAAACTAGCAGACTCCATGCCAAACCGTGTTCAAATGCTGCTTAAAAATAGCAGAGGTCATATCTGTTACTAATGTGAGATTTATACATGTATATGTGAGTTTTGTACAATAAACTACATTGTTTGTTTCAATTAATTTGCACAAGGGTGTAGGTCAAGAAAAGACAAGTATGGCGGTTCAGTCTGAGGATGTACCCAGAACATCATCTGCTCTGGTTTTGTGGCATGAATTTTGGTTGCTGTAGCCTCAGAAAGTATGGAGGAATATGACCTTCTTAACGTTGGCTCCATTCTTTGCTTTTCATGGAACCATCATGCATCAAAGAAATGGGGACTGCCTGGCCTCATGCTCATTTTCTTATCCATTGATTTTATGCTGCTTGAACTGTTATACTTGTACACCACCCTGGAATCAGCAATGAAAATAACAGCATCTTCTTTGTTTTTCAGGTGTCCATCAGCCAGCAACCATCAGGAAGAGGTGTGCCATGTTTAAGATGCAGAGGGATGTGCAGTGGCTTTGAGCCACATTCTTGGAGGTAGCGCCTTTAATACTTGATTCTGCTTTTCCACCTTGGTTGTTGTTCAGGTTCTGACTTGTCTTCTGATTTTGTGCAGCTGTGCCTTTTGTGCTTTGCAGTAGATAGAGAGACCTGCATCCAATAAGATCAATAATGGTTTTGTTACTGATTTTCATTGTAATTTTACAATTAAATTAACATGGAGGTTGCCATGGATACAAAAAAAGATGCAAAGCCCTTTCCCCCCAAGTACTCAAAAGCAGCCTGACTTTCATTTCACAAGCACTCAAGAGAGTTTTGCATACACTCAGTAATTCTTACAACAACGTTGAAAAGTAGTCCAGCACTGTTCTCTTCCTATATAGATGATGGAGTTAGGATGTTAGAAAGCAGTCACTCCTCCACATGCAGCTGCTGGGTGACCTTGGGCTAGTCACACTTCTCTGAAGTCTCTCAGCCTCACTCACCTCACAGAGTGTTTGTTGTGGGAGAAGGGAATGGAGATTGTTAGCCGCTTTGAGACTCCTTAGGGTAGTGATAAAGTGGGATATCAAATCCAAACTCCTCTTCTTCTTCTTGAAGCAAGCCTGCTTAGAAAGCCATCTTTTGCGGGAAGAAAAATTTTATTGACCTTTAGTAAGCCATTGCTAGCACCAAATTAAAACTCAACTGAGTAGACTGTTCAAATATTGCTCAGCTGTTAAAATGAGTTACACCAAAGTTCCTTCAGTTTTTCAGACGTGTAGGATTCAGAGTCTCAACTGGTTAATCTTGAGCTTGCTGCTTTTGTTCTCCATCAAAAGGTCAGCCTATATAATTGTGTCCCTGACTCTTTTGGCCCTTCCATTCCAGTCAAAGGACACCATTCTTTCAGCGGTGATGTCATCTTTTAAAAATGCCACATTCCTTGAAGTCTCCACTCTCAAGGGAACAGTTTGGAAAGACTCAAGTGACCCGTTTGAATGCAAATAGTCAGGCTTTTTGATATATCTGCCCGGCCAGCGTTCGCATAAGCTATCAGGCATGTAGTGAATCTGGTCTGTTTTGGTTTTGGTGGGAAAACATTTTCAGACCAGTGATCCAAGACACACATAAAAATGCAGCAGTCCTTCCTGCCTGCTTTTTAATCTTACTCAGTCGCAGATGGGCTTTCTCCCACAATTAGGACATCTTTTTGCGGCAGGCTGGCAATGAAATCATTGCTCAAATCTGGACCCACTTTATGATTCCTCCATCTGTGCATTGTACTTCTCTCTTGTTTATGCAAAAAATAAATAAATTGCTGGATTTCTCTCCTCCTTCCCCATTTTTTTATATTATTATTGTGCCATAGATATTCATGTCTTGAACTCACACTTCCAGTTCACCACTAAGGCAAAGAGCTGGGAGAGTATTCCATCAAAGATATTCAGGGACTTTTATTTACCATATTTACTCAAATCTAATGCTCATCTTTTTTGGCCCAGTTATGTTGCAAAAATCAAGGTGCACATTAGATTCTAGGGCGCATTTACATTCGCCAGGAAATCCTTTTTTTATTTCAAGGTTCTGAAAACTGAGGTGCGCATTAGATTTGATGGCGCATTAGACTTGAGTAAATATGGTATTTATTTTGGTCCTATTTAAGTACTGTCAACCACATTCCACTCTTCTGGGTGGGGAGCAATCTGATTATTCTGTACTGCGGCCAGTGCAAGTAGATAAATAGATTCCGCTGTGGCTGGAAGGTAAACGGCGTTTCCATGCGCTCTGGTTCCGTCACGGTGTTCCGTTGCACCAGAAGTGGTTTAGTCATGCTGGCTACATGACCCAGAAAGCTGTATGTGGACAAACACTGGCTCCCTTGGCCTGAAAGCGAGATGAGCACTGCAACCCCATAGTCACCTGTGACTGTACTTAACCATCCAGGGGTCTTTCACCTTTACCTTTTAGTACGATAGAGCATCATAATAGAGTACAGAGAGGTTTTCAAGATGCTAGTCTTCTCTGGCTTTTCCCTTTAGCATCTACTCAGACTTCCTTGAGTATATCTTCCTCCAAATTCTGCTCTGCGCAAGAAACCATAGAAGATTCAGTGCCTAATATTTGCATTACCTACAAGTGATATATCATTGAAAAAAGATGAACCTCATTTCATCAAAAATCTTTTTCCCCCCATGTGTACTACTTTTGAGATGTGGTTTCAGAAAAGCTTTTAAAAGGAGTGATCTGGATTAGAGCTGTTGGGATATTGGTTCCATTTGCTACAAGCAACAGTGCCAATATATCATCCTACCCACAAAAAAACACATGCTCTGCTTCCCTTACATTAAGGCTACTGTGAAGCCAGGAAACACTTTTTAAGAACCATGATGGTGTTACCTGCTGTTAATGCAATGGTCTGCAAATATATAAAATCTAAAAGAATATAGTCTCTGGCTTATGATCTGCAAAGCAAAGGAATATAAAATTTTCAGACAGCCTGGATCCAAGTTCCCATGCCAAGTATGCTATAAATCTGCTGCTGTCTGGGTTGCATCTTTTCTTCCCAAACGCTTTAGCTACTTGGGGATAATCATAGTATTGTGACTAGGGCAGAGGGGGAGAACACATGCGCAAGGTTCCCAGGGGTCAGTCCCTGGCATTTCCTGTGATCCATTCCACCCTTTGACCCAAGGCAATCTATTAAAATACACAGATCAATATACAAAGCCAGCAATCTATACAACCAATACATGAAAGCGCTCTCTAACCAATAGGCTCGCAAAGAACCCAGCCTGAGACCACCACCAGTCAGGTTAGAGATCACTGGCCTAGATCTTATAATATTTGCAGTACTATATTCTGTAATATCTGGTCCGGTAATCCGTTAGTCAAGCTTCAAAATGATTGCCACCAGCATAACAGGCTGTGCATTAAATGACATCTCAATATTTAAGTCTGTGCATTTCTAGAGACATTGTTGAGAGAGAAGAGCCCAACTCCTCAAGCAGATTGATTTTAGTGAGGTTCAGTAAGTTGGGTGGTGGCGAAGCATCAGCACTTCTTTCCCTCTACTTGCCAGGATGACAATGGGACAAGGTAAGATGGCAATGTGGACATGGAAGCTCCAGCGGCACCTGTATCATGCCACCACAGATCTGGAGCTCCTCTAAGCTTATCTCCCTTTCACCCTCCATATCCCTACCTTGGCAAAAGCACCACCAGCCCTGTTCATTCTTTTCATTTACTGCTCTGCTAAGGTCAGAACTGGAGACAACGATTTCCAGGGAGAGCTGCCTGCAGACAGGGATACCTATGCTTTTAAACAGCCTGCCTCAGACTCTTTGCCTTTTTAAAGAACCTATTTAGGACAAAGAATGACTTTTGTAGACTGGAATTTGTAGAAAGACATTGAAATAGTTTCTCAGTTCTCTGCAGTGGTTCCCCCTCACCCAAGCCTCCACATGCTTTTTATAATTTAAAATTCTTTCTTTCTTTTTTTTCCATAAATGACATGTAATCACACTGACTTAATGCTCCTTGGGGAGTAGAAGAGATCAGGGATCCTAAAAAGAAAGCATTTGCCCCTCACTCTGTAATCCTAGTACTCCTTCTGAATTGAACTTTGGCAAGGCCGGTTGAAAACAGACATTCTTGTGTGGCATCAGCCAATTGGAGAAGAGCAACCACATGACTGGTTTTTATGTGCACAACAGGGGGAAGAGGGCAAGATGCCAAAGTAATTATACTTGACTTACCATCCAGCATCCTTTTATGCTGCATGTGGATTTATGCACTGTAATACCTTTCCCTACATCTGCGAGAGACTGGCTTCCAGATCTAATTATTTCAACACAGTTTAATAAACCCTGTTCTCCTTATTTGCTATCAAGATGGGGGCTATTTAGCAAACTATTAAGTATATTCCATTCACTTTCCTCCTACTGGGCACAGCAATGTCATTTGTTGTTTGGCTCTGGAAAGGCTCTTGAAGTTATTTTCTGAAAATTACTCTTTTATCAGTGCCGAAAATCTATTTGTGCGTTCACTGTCTGTTTTGTTTGAAATCTGAGCTGGGTTCATATTTTTATTGTGGTTCCACACAAAGCATAGCCTTTGAAGAATCTCTTCAAATGGACTTGCATCTAACTCATTAGTGGATAATTGTGGACATCAACTGTAAATGTTCCTCTAGAGGCTAGAATGACCTTGGTTTGTATAATTCCAAAGGGAGAAATGGATGCTTACAAAAACTAGGTGGCAGGGCTGGACCAATACTTTTTGGTGCCTCAGGAAACCCCCCAAAATGATGCCTCCCCCACCAGGGAATAAGGGGTGAGTGAAGAACTACATCATGAACAAGTACAGAATAAAGACTGATGTCAAGATCTGCTGCCCCTGTTGATCCTTCTGTCTGAGGCAGTCATCTCACCTTGCCTCATGGGTGGGGCAGTCCTGCTAGGAGGAAGTCATTGGGTATCTTGCAGATAATGGATGAAAATTCAACACCGCCTTTCTACTTGCAGAGCGGTTCTTGATACAACAAATGTGTCCAGTAGCATAAGAGGTGACATTTGCTGATTTTGCACCTCCCCATCTCATGCAACTCCCTGCAGTTCAATAATTTCCCTCAGTTAGTGTGTATTTTGCATACATATAGATTTGAAAGCATTTCTGTTGCGTTGCCCTTAAATCTCTTTTCACCCTTACTTTAAGAGCTCGAGTATCTGATTGAATATATGTTTATGTGTGTGCACTCACCACTTTGCGTTCCAGCTGCTTCCATTGCCCGGAGCTCCCTAGTAAATGAAGGGATTGCTTAAACTTCCAGAAAACAAAGGGAGCACTTGGTGCAATTGTGTCAATGGCCCACCATGCTTCTCTATTCCATAGGAAGACTTGGGCTTCAGAATTGCCAGCACTGGCTATTGGCAAATCCCCCAGAGCTTTCAGAATCCCTTAGACCCCATAGGTCTCTGGGGTTGGACCCCCAACCATACAGCAGCTTACTGGTACTGCTTTACCAGGGTATTAAGAATAAGAATGTTTTAGAGAAGAGAAGGAAATAAAACAAAGACTTTGAATACAATGCCAGAAGTGTAGAAAGAAGATATGTGTGTTATTGTACTACAGGCGTTCTTGTCTTATTTTTATGTCAAGGCAACTGAGAGATTCTAGCTGAACTGCCTGACTGTAAGGAGGAAAGCACACACAATGCATCTTGTTGAACTGGTGCCCCAAACTGCATTCCTGTATCAAGGTTCTCCTTTCTCCACAATGTGTAGTGTTACTAGCCGTGTGACCTCACTGTGTGACCTCACTGACTATGGCATATTGCTCCGCTGCTTCCGTCACCTATTTATGTGACCACATCACTGTGAGGGATCAGAAATGCTGCTATCGCAGAGACGGGAACTAACTTAAGATGGAGAAGGTCTGTTGGCGGCAGACCCGTGACATGATTTTAGAATATGTGATTCGTTGCCCAGATTATGCAGCACTATGCCACAGAGCATACCCTCGACAGAGCTAAAAGTCCCTGGCATGTGTATTTGTATGCTTAGACGTATTGTAGATGACTGTTTTATATTGTGGGGATGGTGGTTTGCCTCTGTTTCAGAATCAGCCATGTACTGTGAATGCAAACATGTTGCTGTTTTTATTTCTTATGTCCCAATACTTCATCTCACAAGAGCCCAGAGCAGCTAAGAACAAATATACAGCCTTTAAAGCAAAGTTAAGGCATGGTACAAAGCACAGCAGGCATTAAATTATAGAAATGCATGTACAAAAGCAAGTGAGTTAATTTTTTATTTAAAAGTATTTCTAAGCCACTTCATGCTTTCAAAGAGTCTAAGCTGCATACAGTGGACCAATGGTACAAGGCCCAGTCACATAGATCAAGGGAAGTCTGTGATGTTCTTATTGTGCCCCAAAGGCCTGTGGGAACAAATAAGAGTTCTATCCAATAGGGCCAGTTGCCATGTGAATACTCCCAAATATAACCCTGCTCCCAAATATAACAATTTCCATGCTTTATATTCTTAAGAAACTGGGGCAAGGGGAAATAGCACAGAGACTCAAGAGGCCTATAGATATCACAACAGGATGTATTGGGGGGGGGGTCTTTGTTTGACATAACCTACACTGACTAAACATTCAAGTCTGTATGTTTTGATCTTACCTCATCCTAGGATGTGTTGCAGTGATACACTAATGACAAACCCATTCATGCCATAGAGCTCTGAACTACCCTCATTCTCCCATTGTAGTCTTCCAGTAAAGGAGGAGAAATATTTAAGAGCAGGGTAACAATACTATTATATTTTCCTCAATTAGTAATTTACAGCTTAATCTTATCAATTTGCAGCCAAGACTCTCGTATGTTCTGTTTCCCCCACCCCATCTTATAAACTGAAATTTCCACAATCTTTTTATTATTATTTTATTTAGTCTTGACTTCAAAGAATCTTACACCCATATTTCCTGTGCAACTCTGCAATAAACTATTTACATATATCAGATGCCTTTAAACCTAGCTGCCAAGGCAATGCACTCAAAAACGACTTTGCTGCTTGAATCCAAATCCCTTGAAATCATATATTTAGCTTTGGAATCAGGACGGGGGTGTGTGAATGTGTTCTTATATAAAATATTAGAAAATAATGCACCTTGCATGATAACACTGGGTTTGTACATGGATATTGAAGACTCGGGTGTTCTTTTCCAATTTGGAAAAAAGGAGGGATATAAATACATTAAATAAACAAAGCAGTGAGACTCATGTCCTCATCTCTCAGGTGATTCTTTCCAAAATTGTGTAACTGACTAGCTGCATTCACAGCAGCTTAGAAGTAACACTTGGTCATTGTGCCCTGAGGCTTATTCTCCAGGGTCTCTGCAGTGTGGGTTTTTACAGTTTTATATTCCACACCATGGCAAATTCCATTAGTCTGCAGCTTACAAATTGAGTTCTTGCCAACAAAGGTCTTTTGTCCTACGCCATGATCCATTTCAATCTTTAACCTTCAGTGTTTTTGAAAGTTCATTCCTGAGCCTCCAAAAGAGCACATGCCTGTTTGGGGTTCAGCTTATATCAAAGGGTGACCTCATTTTGTCTCCCACAGGAAAATATGCAAGTCATGTAAATGCAGCCAGGAAGATCACAGTCTGAGCTCCGATGCAGAAGATGATCGGAAAATTGGCCGCTTGCTCTCCGATTCGAAATACTCTTCGCTAACTGCCCGGGTGAAAGGAGGTGATGGTGTTCGCATCTATAAAAGGAACCGTATGATTATCACTAATCCCATCGTGTCTCGGAAAGATCCAACATTTAACACTATTACATACGAATGGGCTCCACCCGGACTGACTCAGAAGCTGGTAAGATCACACACCTAATTGTATGTAAGGACTACTTGAAACTTTCCAAAACACACAGGGTTTCAGTAGCTGCTAAAGAATCTAGCATCTCCACTATGTGTCCCTTTCCCCCGACCCTGAACCCCCTTTCTCACATCTTCTTAACTTACTGATTTTATATCCTGCCTTTCTCTCAGTGCAGCGCACAAGGTGGGTTTGCAACCTACATTAAAACAGATACACCTGAAAACACACCATGCAGGTAACCCTATTAAAACAGCACTGAAAATGCTTAAATGCTTAAAACCATTAAAAACACACACACATGCACACAGTGCAATACCCACCCTCAGGAGACCCTGCCACAACAGTCAGTCAGTGTCCTGTCAGTGAAAGGAAAGCAAGAGAGGAGGTCAGCCTAGCTTTCTGTGGGAGTTCCTTTATCTGGGAGAAGCCACCTAGAAGGTACTCTCTCATTTTCTCACCCAATATGCCTGTGAAGGTGGTGGGACTGAGAGAAAGGCCTCCCTAGAAGATCTCAAAGCCCAGGCAGGTTCATATAGGGAGATATGGTCCTTCAGATCGTCAGGACCCAAACCATGTAGGGTTTTGTAGGTCATAACCAAGACTTTTGAAGGAGCTGCTGTGAGAAACTTGAAGACAGATGAATTTTGAATCAAGACCAGAAGATCCTTGTCTTGGACTGTTTTTAATCACGGTTAATACATGGAACTAGAAGCTCAGATCTAGTATCAATCTATGGTATTTCAAAATCTCCTGCATAGAGGATGAGTTGCAGTGATATCTCACTCTAAGCAATTTATTTTTCTTGCCTCCTGGGACCATTTCTGCTGTTGTAAAGGAGGGAAAACTTGAGAAAGCACCAAATAGTTATTTTTTTACCAGAAAGATATGTCTGCGACTTGTTTCTTGATTAGTAAATAATGTTGAGGCAGCACATTCGCTTGAAATGTTTAGTGCTAAAAAATCTAGTAGGAATGAATAGATCTTTTTTGGCTATGTGTGTTGTGCATTCTGGGGGGAAAAATCTGAAGAATGGTGTGCTTTTCCTCTTTATATACGGCGTGAGGCCTTTGAATTTTCCCTCCCAAATTAAATCGGCTGAACAACACGGAATTCAGTACTGTATAAATTTCAAAGCCCATGTGATTAATACGTGATGTTTGGTTCAGCCGGCTATTTGAGGGAGTATGATACAAGAGGAGGAGTTTTCCCCTTCGGTGGTCTAGTTTTCAAGAGGTTGGGAGTAAATACTAACTCGATGCTCTTGCTGACACAATGGGGTATTCTCCCCTCTCCTCCTGCACATGCCCTACACTAGCTCTGGAAGGTCAGAAGACCCCACAAAATAGCACCTTGGAGGAAGAGGATAGGGATCGCCCTTCACCTTGCAGATCACCCAAACCCCACGTTTCTTGCCCTCCTTAAGCCCCACTGCACTGCCACTGCTGTGGGAAGCCAGAAATTGTAGGCTATTTTCTCCAGTAGCAGTGGGAGATGGGGTGGTGGATAAAGAGGAGAAATATTTTCTCCCCTTCATTCCCCATCCCTATGCCAGTTGAGGCAGCAACAGGAGAAGCGCAGGGCAGGTTGAAAAGTCCACACCACACTGATCCGATCCTGCCCACCTGCCCAACTCCGTCCACCTCTACTTTACCTCTTTCTCACAGCTTTGGCAGCTCACTTGTTCACCTGCTCAGGCAAACCTTCCTCCGCTTACAGCTCAGCCAAACCGCGGCTGAGGCGGCTCACAGAGGAACAGGCTGGGCTGTCTGATCACTCACTTGCCTGACTGCACTGCCCACCTGCTGTCCAGTAGGTGGCCACATGAACCGCAGCTTGATGACAGCTTTACAGTTTTATTATATAGTAAGATACACAACATTTATTTATTTATTGCATTTATATCTTACTCTTTCCTCCAAGGAGCTCAGTGTGGTGTATATTATTCTTCCCACTCCTCATTTAATCCCCACAACAATCCTATCATGTAGGCTAGGTTGAGAGTTCCAAGGTCAGCCAATGAGCTTCATGGCCAAGTGGGAATTTGAACCCTGGTCTCCTAGGTTCTGGTCTGACAATCTGACCACTGCATACATAACAGTGTAGATGTTTATCAATCTTTAAACTTAGAAGTTTATAAGACATTAGTTGCTTTCTCCGCTAAACCATTCATATAAATGGCCCGGACTTCCAAGGCCAGACATTTTCACCATGGCCCAGTATGTTGTCTATCCTTGACTAGCACGAAGAGATGGAGATGCTCAAGAACAGACAGAGGGCAATAAGAAGTGCCTTATGTAAGCAAGTATCCTGGGGTTGCCTTGGGTGACCTTCTAAAATTACAGTTCACCTCAAACCTCCCTGTTTGTAAAAGTTCTTTGTCACAGGAAAGGAATGAAACTAGAATTCTTGGGAAACCTGTCAATCTCCTGCAGCATGCCTCAGTCCCAAAATATATCTGTTGCTATTGAAAAGAGGGGAAGACACGCGGACAAAGTGGTCTGGGATTGGCCCAGTCCTCTTGGTAACCAATACGGTCTCTGGGACTGACTGTGTAATGCGTAAGATGGTTCAGTGGATAATGACAGCTGAGGTAGGTAGCCCAAGAATCTAGAATAATAAATCACAAATGTCCCCCACCTGGCAGTAGTCGATAGCTGCTTACTCATTGCGTATTATGAGAATCTTATTTGGGGTAATTGGTGGCTAGTTCTGTGAGGTGGAAAGTAAAAGATTATTTTCCCAAATACTGCAAATGTGAACCTGTTGTTCAGCTTCTGCCTGTAGGCTTCCCATGGGTACCTGGTTGGCCACTGTGAGAACGGAGTGCTTGGCTAGATGAGCCTTTCGCCTGATCTAGCAAGGCTGCTCTTATGTTCTGAAACCCCTTCAGTTTTGACACAACCCTTGGTTTCCAAATGCACAAACAGATTACATTTTTCTGTAGCACAGTTGGATGGACTGAGAGAGTTTGGGATAAGAATTCTACTTTGAACGTTCGTAATATGGATTGCTGCAACACTGGCATGCATCCTCAGATTATGGGTATGGATTTATATATGTTTCTAAAAATGAACAAGAGCAAGTCTTGCATTCTTCAACAATTCGATGGATCAAAGGCACAGAGTCACTACTTCACTACTTCTCTTCCCTTAAAATTTCATAGATTTGCTTCAGGTGGTCATTAGGCATGTTTGCACATGGTCATTTCGAACCCGATCTCCAATCCTTCCTCAAGTGGGGGGCAGTGGCCAAGACGTAGGATTGGAACTAATGCTAGTTCTCTTCAGAGTAGACCCATTGAAGTTAATGGACATAGCTGACAGGTACGTTAATTTTACTCTAAGTAAAACCTAGTTGGCTGCCACTAGGTATTCAACAGCACTAAGGCAGAAATTCTGTCAGTTGCAAGGATTTTTCTTGTGCAGTGGAACCTTCTCCCCCTCTCCTCCCCCCATGCACCCCCTAAATGTGTAATGGGGGTTCCCCCAGCCCTCCAGAGCAGATTTGGAGCTGGCGCAGGGCATGTACAGGAAGAGGAGGAGACTGGGAAAGTCCCATTAAGGTAGCAGGAATTCTTCCAAAGGCTTCCACTAGCACAGCAATTTAGTTGAATACAGCACTGAAGTTTTCTTCATGTCACTAGGAACAAGTTTTAATTACTTATTTGAGTTGACGAAGTTATTTAAGCCCTCAATAAAGTTTCTGTGACCACAATAAATACCTTTGTTATTCTCCTCCTATATATAGGCACATGAAGCTCAGGAATTTGATATCCTATCATTGTGAAAACAAGTAGTGCCCTTTAACTCGAGTACATTTATTTAATGCTTACAGTTTACATGTTTTGTTTAGAGTTTTATCTGTGTTTTGGTTGCGTTTTCCTGTGATCCTTAAAGTTTTGGGTTCTGGTTGACTGTTTAGATGTTTTTAGTTTCCATAGGAGGGAATAACTTTTGACACACAGAGAGAATGGGTCTCATTTATTCAGTCAAGTGCTCTACTCTATCCCTCATGCATAGCGATGAAACCTTTCATATCCAGCACTTCTGAATGATGTTATGTAACCCAAAGTACATTCATAAGGAATCTGCCAGATCTAGCCCCAACTGCATTTAAAGCACCATAGCACCACTTGAAGCAGTCATGGATCCCCCCAAATAATCCTGTATAGTATTGTTTCTTAAAAGAAACTTCCCTCACCATTCCCCTTAAAGAACTACAGTTCCCACAGTTCCCTGGGGAAAACGAGTGATTGTCAAATCACTCTGAGAATGGTAGCTCTGTGAAGGGAATAGGGTCTCCCCACAAACTCTCAGCACCCTTAACAAATTACACTTCCCTTTAAAGAATGTCTCTTTAAAGTGGTATAATACTGTTTTAAAGCTATTGTGCAGATGGGACCATATTGTTTGCAACTTATGGGACTATATTGTTTGCAAACAAATACCACTATTGAACCGTCGGTGGCTTTGATAGCATAATCTTCTGCAGCATCTGACTGGAGCCTAACAAGTTCCGAAATCAGGTCCAGCATTCCTTTCCATGCCCAGTATTTAGACTTGGCTGACTTGATACAATTGTGAGAACACATGAAAATACATTCAAGATATCTGGAACAGGTTTAGCCAGCGAGATTTGATTTAGCTGCGTGCCGTGATATCTACACTTTAAATAAAAATACTTTTTTCTTCACCTTCAAACTGACTTAAGTTGATTTCTAAGCTGTTTCCCAGAACTCTGTTCTGCATGCCAAGAGGGATTTGGAAGTGAAAGTGATACGATTCAACCAGAGTACACCAAAAATAAGGACATTTCCTCAATGTAAGGTGATGGATTAAACTCTGGGTGGCCAATTTGCTGCCCTCCTGGTCCTGCAGGGCTGCGAAAGGGAAATAACCTCTGTGAAACAGGCTGCAGACTCCACCTTCAATTTCCTCTGCCCCCCCCCTTTTGTGGACTACAGCACCCATTATCCCTGGCCATGCTGAGGGGAGAAAAGGAAATTAGTTCATAAAATAACTGAAGGAACTATCTCCTAAAATAGTGGAAAGAATTTTCTTTTCATGAGCTTCTCCCCACCAGCCCAATATGGTAAAAGCAAGTTGTTTTGGCTTACGTTTAAATTTCTGCAATTTCTCCTCAGTTATGAGAAGATTGTGTTGTGCTGCTGGTTTTATGCAATGAAATGGGCCTGCCTTTCTTTTGTGTGCCAGTTGATAGCTGTGCTATACGAACATTGTACTTAATCAGTCACAAGAGGTCTGGCAGATTTTGCTTGTGTAACTGCATTGGGCATATTGTTTAAACATTTGGGGAACAGATCTTCTATTGCAAAGCACTAGTGGGTTATATTGCATGTTTCAAACAAGCAATACTTTAGCCTGCTGAGGTGTTTAATACACCCTAACAGTTGTGCTGTTCATTAGGCAAGTGCTGACCAAGGTGGAAATTAATTGAACTCTCCTGAAAGCTGGTCTCTAAAAAAACCAACCAGTGAATGGCCAACTTGGCTGCCTATGAACAAGTCACGCTACGAGAGGGAAAAGGTCCCTGTCAGAGAATATCTCTCTCTCTCTCTCTCTCCATAAAGAGATTAACTGCACTGAAAGTTCTCAGCATCCTTTTTGCAAATGTTAATCTTGAATGAGACCAGCCTTTTGTCTCCAGCTATGAATTACAAGCCAATGGCTAACTTGATTACAGTACTTACAAACTACTTTGTTAGATTTGAAACACGGGTCTCCAAATAAAGTGCAGACTTTTTTCATTTCCCCCCGAATAGCATTGGACTGTGTGCTTGAGTAATAAAATGAGTTGGCTACTGACCGCTGAACTTGGTGGCCACCCCTGCCACCAGCTCTCCTCTTTGGCACTTGAAAAAGCAGTAGAGATTGCAAGGGGTGGTGGTGTTCAAAGGTGTAAACTCAACGAAATACTGATTTATAAATTCGCTTACTTAGGTTAACTAATGGCTTTACAGAAGGGAAAATGGAAGACCTTCCAGACTGTATACAACCCTGCGTAATTTTTCTTTTTGTCGTTCCCTCCCCGCCCCCCCAGCACTAAATTAGAATCATTAACATCTCGCCCAAGTGCTGTTTGTGTGCTACATGTGGGTTTATAAGGCATTGCAGCTGGTGGTTAACTGTTAACAAGCTTGCCTTTCCATGGCTTTTAGCCAGCTAAATTTTGGCAACCACTTGAATGTAATCTTTCATAAATAGGAAGCATGTCTCCAGGCACATACTTAATATTTGCTAGGCTCTAGGGATGCCAAAAAGGTTAAGGGAGATTGAAGTTTTGGACTTGTGCCTTTGGTTTTTGTGACACCTGATGTGTGCTGGGGCTCTTTCTTAATCTGTTGTGTTTCTGGGATGTCAATCAAACTTAGGCTGGAGTGGGGCAGAGATGGGGCATCTGTGTCCTACCCTATCTGGCAGGAGCAAGGTATGTTGTCACCAGGCCAAAACCAGTGAAAAGGAAACCCTGACTGATAGTTAGATGATAGATAGATATATATTGCATATCTATTCTGAGTGGTTCAAGACTAGGCCCAATACTCCTTACAAGTAATCATCCCAAAATCCTCAGGGGGCCTGTTGTGATGACTTTACGAGACACCTTAAAAGATAAAGTTGCTCATATATTTGCTTAGACCTTGATGCCTCATTTGCAGCAGTGTCTGAGAATGTTAACAGTATCATCTGGTCTGATTTTATGGGGTGGGTTACAGTTTCTGTGGTCCAAGGATGTAGACAAGACTTGTGTTCAGGCATTCAGCTGAATACAAATGTTCGCATGAGTCACACCCCAATGTCTCTGCCCACTCAGTTCCTGACCTTCCCCATGTCTGCAGGCTGATTATATTCCTGTTTGCTTCATAGTCACCTCATGTGACTAGAAATCCTAATAAGGCATAACTGTGCCCCAGGGACCTCTCAGTTGGACCACTGTAATATGTTATACATGGAGCTGCCTTTTGAAGTTAGTCTAGAAGCTTCAGACCTTTGTCAGAGTAAAACTGCTGGAATTTTTACATGTACAGCATAGTTGTATATTTTGCAAGTGTTCAGAATTTTGAGAACCTGTTTTTTATCCACCAGTCGTCTTGTGTGTTTTTGGCAATTTAATTGTATAAAATCAACAATTTTGCTGAAGAACAGTATATAAATACTTGGGGAAATGCTTCAAAAAATACCTGAAAATTTGAAAAACCTTTGACATGATACAGCAAGGATGGAGAACCTGTGGCCTTCTAGATGTTGTTGGGCTTCGACTCCCATCAGCCCCAGCCAGCATTGCCAAAGTCTCAGGAAAAACAGGACTTGTGAGCCAGCAACACCTGGGAGGCTGCACATTTCCCTCCCCTGTGATACAGTATCTCTGCTGCCTGCTCTGTACATGGGTATTGCATCATGAAAGGATGCTCTTGACTTGACTAAACCTGACATACAGTTTGGCTGCACAAGACTCACATCAGGTGGCTGTGGTGTGGAACCACTGGGAAAGCCCTTACTGGTTGTCAGTGCTGCCATATGGGATACAAGCAGTAGCAGATGACACAGGTGGTGTTGGTGGCATTGTTCGCCTGACCTCTCAGCTTTGGGAGTGGTAAGGTGGGGGAGCCAATGCAATGCTCCTGCCAGCACATTTGCCCACCACTGCCGTCCCCTGCAAAGCAGAGCAGTGCACAGAAACGCCGTTTACCTTCCCACCGGAGTGGTACCTATTTATCTACTTGCACTTTGAGGTGCTTTTGAACTGCTAGGTTGGCAGGAGCAGGGACTGAGCAACGGGAGCTCACCCCGTCGCGGGGATTCGAACCGCCGACCTTCTGATCGGCAAGTCCTAGGCTCTGTGGTTTAACCCACAGCGCCACCCACGTCCGCTTAGAGAATAACTTGCACCTAAATATTAGCAAGACAAAGCAAATGGTGTTGGACTTTCGGAGGAAGAGAGGGGAACTAGCCCCGTTGTATATCAGGGGGCATTGTGTGGAGAGAGAGTCTTCCTTTAAATTTCTGGGAGTTTACCTTAGTGAAGACCTCACTTGGAAAAACAATATAACTCAGGTGGTTAGGAAGGCCCAACAGAGACTCCATTTTCTCAGGGCCTTGCAAAAGAACAATGTTAAACAACAATTGTTGACCTCCTTCTACCGGTCCACAGTAGAAAGTGTCCTCTCATATTGTATCACAGTGTGGTACATTGGCGTGACAGCCACAGACAGAAGTCTTTACAGAGGGTGGTGAACACAGCACACAATATCATGGGCAGACCCCTGAGCCCGCTAGATGACATTGCAAGGGATCGTTGCCTTAGGAGAGCGAGGAAAATTCTCAGGGACGATTCACACCCCGGCCAGCACCTCTTTAATCTTCTACCCTCGGGCAGGAGATATAGAAGTATAATCAGTCGTACCAACAGGCTAAAAAACAGTTTCTATCCATGGGCTGTTAGGCTGCTGAATAGAAAATAATATAGTGCAACTGACTTTGGGGTTTGGTGTGTTGTGCGACAAGCACACAGAGTGCAATGAGACTGAGTGTTTGTGGGGGTGGGGAGGCTCGGTTAATTTCATTGTACACAGGTTGTGTACAATAATAATATAGGTATTATTATTATCTTGTCTCTCTCTTTTTCTTCCACGTAAATCAGGCTACCCAGTACATGGAACTGATTTCGAAAGAGATGCAGCCAGTGGCTGGTACAGAAGGTGCTTATTATCGTCGCAGGAGGTTGATGAGACAGCTTCCTATTTATGACCAGGATCCTTCCCACTGCCGGGGCCTTTCAGAGAGTGAAATAAAGTTGATGGAGGACTTTGTGAAGAAATACAAAGATGGCGTTCTTGGCGTTGGGGAAGTTGCACTGCCAGGTCAGGGAGGAACTGCCAAAGATGATGGGAAGCAACCTGATAAAGGCATTCCTGCAAGTAAAGAAGTTGTTTCTACCAATGGAAGCCTGGGTGACGTGCCTAAAGGGCAGGAATTGGTAAGTATGCAAAGGTTTCCCTGGAGGCATATAATCGGGATACATAGTGCATGGAGTTGCATAGGAAGGAATGGAGCATATTTCTGTGTTTGGCCAAATGTGGTTTAATGAAAGAAAACAATCTGTCTGCCAGAAGTGCTTAAAACAACTTAAGTGTATTTTTCGGTATAGACTCCCCAGTAATCTTGGAAATCTTAGTCCTTGAGTTCATGAGGCCTTAGTCATGCTCACAAACTTACTAATTTTGGAGCTTTTTCTGAAAAACCTTTGTAACAAACTGGTGGCATTGTCTTTTTTTAAATATTTTTATTTTCCAAGGATTTTTTAAAATGACAACACTTTTACATTCAATTATACACCAAATTCATCGTGTTTGACTTCCTCCCACTTGCCATGGCTTCCTAATTCAATCATTCATCATCTTGCGTATAATTATTTTTCCTTTGTTATTTTCAAATCTTAATTATAAATACGTTGTCCATATTTAACACATCATAAATGTTACAACCACCCTGCTAATGTTTTAACATATTTACAGTGTTCTTTAACATATTCTATAAATTTTACCCAATCTTGTAAGAATTTCTTCTCGTCTTGTTGCCTGATCCTCATGGTAAGCTTTGCCATTTCGGCATAGTCTATCACAGGCATAGGCAAACTCGGCCCTCCAGGTGTTTTGGGACTACGACTCCCATCATCCCTAGCTAACAGGACCAGTGGTCAGGGATGGTGGGAGTTGTAATCCCAAAACAGCTGGAAGGCCGAGTTTGCCTATGCCTGCTCTATCATCTTGATTATCCATTCTTCCAAATTGGTGGCAATGCCATGGATGTGTGAATTGGGTGAGCTGGTAAGTTGAATAAGTGGAGAGAGGTGGGGGAGAGAGACAGATTGAGGAATGGGTTGGGCAGAAATGGGTTGAGGACTGCCAAAAGGTGGGCTTGGGGAGTGGGGTTTGCAGGTATGAGCTCCTTTCTTCTTCTTCTTTTTCTTGCCCTATGCTCTGTAGCAGTAGTGGAACGTACATATTGGCTCTGAAAGGTCCCCATATCTGATAGTGTCTCAGTCCCTGCTCAAATTTTTGCTAGAGCAAGGGTAGGTGGGGAATTGTAAAGGGCAAGCTATCAAAAGGGGGAATATTACAAACAGTGAAAACCCTTTGCAAGTTCATTGCTAGACCATGTTGCAGCGACTCAGTCTGGGAATGATTTTTGTTACCCATTCTAGGGGGGAAAATACACACCACCCTTCCTATCTGAAGGCTAAGACTTCCGCTTAAAGGCATTTGTAAAAACCATCTTGGCAAGGGAGGTTTATTTTGACTGCAAGTTCTTCCCTCCAAGTAAATACATACCTGTGGTGTTTATTCTCCAGAAGAATTTAATGCTTTATTTTTTTCCTTTGGGCACCAGTGGAAAAGCTAAATTCTTTGAAAAGCAATTACAAAAGCTCCATTTGTGCAGATGTCGTGAGACTGCTAAACTATGGGGCTGCTCTGCAAAATTCCATGGAAGGTTCTGACATTCCAAAAAAATGGAACATTTAAGCTTTTGTTTGGATTAGCAAAATGGCACCCGTGTTAAGGGCTGTGGGTGGGTGGTTAGATAGATTGTCCTCAGGCTATTCAATCAACAAGTGTTAGGATGTTGATAAAATCTTGTAGAATTTAAAACAAAGTACAATGCAAAGTGACTGCTTCTCACTTTGGTTTACAACTGCAGGTTCCTGGTGTTCTCTCAAAAAAAGATCTACTTTTAAAAACTTCTTCCATGTTCAAATTGTTTAGAATACATCTCAATACTTGGCAGTAAGCGTACCATCACACTGCTGAAATCCCTATAATTTTTATCTGATTATCTTGATTTTTTAAAAAATAAATAAATTAGCAATTACATGTCTACTCTATAATTCTCCGGGAAAATTGAATTGTGTGTGATGTGCCAGCACTTTGCTGTGCCAGGCTGCCATTATGAAGCAATAAGTGAGAATCTGCAAAGCCACAAAACATTGTTCACAGACTAGTTTCCTTCAGTGCAATAACAACCCTTTTCTATGACACATTGAGTGTGGTCCCTTTGCACGTACAGAGGTTTTGACCCTCCTGTTAAAAAACTTTTTGCTATTCACACTTGCATGTTCCCTACTTCTCTGAGAGATGAGGGGAAACCCAGGGACGGTGATACAAGTTTGGATAGGGTCTTCTAGCATCCTATACAGTATAACATTTGCTGGCATATTTGTAAATAATTAGGTGCAAAATTGCTAATTCTGCATTGGGTTCTCAAACAAAGAAGCAGTACCCTAAGACTAAATCAGTTTTAGCCATCCCTAGCCCAAACACTTTCAGCCCTCTGCCTAACTCAAACTTAGCAGTGACAACTGGTTATGACAATTCTCTTATCTCCCAACTCTAAGGGCCGGATTTAAGTATAAGCTAAACAAGCTATAGCTTAGGGCCCCGCCCTCTTGCCCCCCCCCCAAAAAAATTATGAGTCTTTGTAAATTGTGTTTCTAAAGGAACTTTGTTATTGCCAAATGCCAATGTGTTTGCATTATTAAGTTTGTTATGAATAAAAAATCATTTTAAGTTAGAGCTTAATAATTATTTCACTATAAATATAAAGGTAAAGGGACCCCTGGCCATTAGGTCCAGTCGTGGCCAACTCTGGGGTTGCGGCGCTCATCTCACTTTATTGGCCGAGGGAGCTGGCGTACAGGCAGGTGGCCAGCATGACTAAGCCGCTTCTGGCGAACCAGAGCAGCGCACGGAAACACCGTTTACCTTCCCACCGGAGCTGTACCTATTTATCTACTTGCACTTTGCCGTGCTTTCGAACTGCTAGGTTGGCAGGAGCTGGGACTGAGCAACGGGAGCTCACCCTGTCACAGGGATTCGAACCACCTTAATTGTATTTCAGTTCAACAATTACTTTGATAAAATACATATTTTGTTATGTGCAAATGGCTTTAGATACCTATTAGGTCCATAAATTACCATATAGCATATATTCAACATGAAAAAACAGCGACAATTTGTTGTTGACAAAGGACAGCTGGACATAGAAAGGGCCCCATTACCTTCAGTAGCTTAGGGCCTCATCAAACCTGAATCAGGCCCTGGTCAGGACCTTTTTGCATCCCTTGCAAAACTACAGGACAGGTTTCTTAATGCAAACTCGGCCAGCTTGTAAAAAATACAAAATCCTGCATTTGACAAAGTGAGCTCTAGTCCACAAATATATCTATCAGTCTTTAATGTGACAACATAGCTATGCATCTAATTTTTGCATCTCTGCAAATTATAAGGATTTTTGTGATTTTAAGAATGCAATCGTTAAGAATACAGTGGTACCTCGGGTTAAGTACTTAATTCGTTCTGAGGTCCGTTCTTAACCTGAAACTGTTCTTAACGTGAAGCACCACTTTAGCTAATGGGGCCTCCCACTGCTGCTGCGCTGCCGGAGCCCGATATCTGTTCTCATCCTGAAGCAAAGTTCTTAACCTGAAGCACTATTTCTGGGTTAGCGGAGTCTGTAACCTGAGGCGTATGTAACCCAAGGTACCACTGTACATACTACAGTTTGGATTTTAAAAAAATCATGTTGCTTGAGTTACAAGTTAACTGCACTGTTGAGTCAATACTGTACTATCTTAGTAAATTAGTCGGATTCACCTGAATGGTTACAGAACATTCTGTGCACTGGTGAGAAGTCCCTCCTTTGCCCATTTTACCCTGGCTGTGTTAAAAGAAAACAAACTGTGCAAAGAGGAGGCAGACGCATACAAACCTCCAAGCTTTCCATCCACTACTAATCAGAATTCACCTCTGTTCCAGAGCATTCTTTGAAGCCAACAGCAGTCAAATAAACGCTCGCTGGAAACGTACCCACATTTGTTCAACCACAAGGACTTCAGCTTTCAAGACATTAGAGAACACCAGTATTAGTGCCAAACATTGAAACCATTTGGATGGGGGGGCACTGAAGCTTTTTGCTGTTATTCCATAATTTTGGTGGTTCAAGCTTCAAGCATTAAAATCTGAGATAATGGTGAACTAGCACAGTTTATACTGATATTGGCGGGGGGGGGGGGACTTGCCACAGTTCATGGGGGAATTCCTGTTGGACATCTATACACAGTGCCAGATTTACGTATAAGCTAAACAAGCTATGGCTTAGGCCCCCACTCTCTTGGGGGCCCCAAAAAAATTTAAAGGGGAAAAAACTGGATGCACATTTCCAAAATATGATAAAAAACAAAATCATATATTTACACCTATTATTATTTCATGTTAAAACAAGTTTCTAGAGACTAGATTATGAGTCTTTGTAAATTGTGTTTCTAAAGGAACTTTTGTTATTGCCAAGTGCCAATGTGTTTGCATTATTAAGTTTGTTATGAATAAAAAATCATTTCAAGTTAGAGCTTAATAATTATTTCACCATTAATATACTTCTTTTAAATTGTATTTCAGTTCAACAATTACTTTGAGTAAATACATATTTTGTTATGTGCAAATGGCTTTAGATACCTATTTGTTCCATATATTACCATATAGCATATATTCAACACAAAAAACAGTGGCAATTTGTTGTTGACAAAGGACAGCTGGACATATAAAGGGCCCCATTACCTTCAGTTGCTTAGGGCCTCGTCAAACCTAAATCCGGCCCTGTCTATACAATTAAATCTAGGGCCAAAGCAACCCAAAATTTCTGCCGCTGCAATTGCAGAGCAACATCCCCAGTCCGGTCCCTTGTAGGGTTGCCATACGTACGGAATTTCCCGGACATACAGTCATACCTCTTGTTACGTTTGCTTCAGGTTACATCTTTTCAAGTTGCATCCTGCGGTCACCTGGAAGTACCGGAAATGGTTACTTCTGGGTTTTGCCGCATGCGCTGATGCTCAAAATGACATCACGTGCATGCGCAGAAGCGGCCAATCACGACCCATGCATGTGCAGACGCGGGTTGCATTCTGCTCATGTTGTGAACGGGGCTCCAGAACGGATCCTGTTTGCAACCAGAGGTACCACTGTACCTGGAATTCTGCAGTCGGAAGCAGAGTCCGGCAGAAATCAGCAAAACGTCCAGGGAAATCCAGGCGTGTAGCAGCCCATATCGGCATATTTCACTTTTTGAAACATGGCAAACCTAGTTACTTGCAGCAGCAGCAGCACCAGGAGGAGGAGGAGATTGATTGTGTCCTGATCTCTGCACCAACTCCATACTGGCACTGTGATCGTTTCCAATGCCAGCTGTGACAGCAGCCTGAGCAGCCAATGGATGCTCAGCCCCTTCCTCAGCTCATCCCCTTCTTCAGAATGCCCTGTGTCAGGGCTTTCCACCCAACCCCACTAGCAGGGATACTGCAAGCAGGCCTTCCACTGGCGAAGTGCTGCTTGTGTTACTTGACTGGCAGGAAACTGGCTAAGCTGCCAGAAGCAAGTAGAGGCCTCTTCTCAGTCCAAACCTCTCACAACTCGGTGTAAGTGTCTTAAGACTGGACACACAGTAACTACCTCTTGGAGTCTCATTTTAAACCTCCCACATTCAGCAAAGCTCTCCCCACCAGTGCAAAACATCTCTCCGTAAGCCTTCAGTGATGTGGTCAACTTGCATAGCAAGCTCATAATAAAGGAAGAGGCTAAAGACTGCAGTCTTCAAAGAGTTTAGGGAAATCCATGTACAAGTCTTGGCTTTCCGAGTCCTTTTCTTGAGATTCAGCTTGGGGCTGGAACACAAATATTCCACCGATGCCAAAGCTTCCCTTCACAGGAAAAGAGTGGTTTGTGTGCTTAAGGGAGGGATTCTTCAGGGAAGCTGTTTTTGTTTTATTTCATTTCAGTGGAAATGGAAATAAAAAGCTGTCAGTATTAACTAAGGAAATATTCATTGGCATGCAATGTGATAAGCCACATATTGAAAATAAGTTCTCACCGTGGATACTCAGGGGGCCAACAGCAGCCTTTCCTTATGGTTGCAATAGCAGACTTAAAAGCAAACAAACTAGCCTTATATCAAAAAGAGGCAATTTTTTTCTTCTGCATGACTTCTAAGATCAAACTAGAGCACCCTCAACTCTTAACCATATAATGTTTAATTGTATTCTTCTTTGAGTGGCTGGGAAAACCCAGCCGGATGGGCGGGGATAAATAATAAATTATTATTATTATTATTTGCATGACAGGATGGGGGGAAGTTCATAATGGGCAGGGCAAACCAGACCCTGAATCTGCTATGCTAGAGGGGGCTTCAGTGGAGTAGAAGCTGTCCAGTTCCACCAGCAGGGAAGCTCCATTGGTGAGGGGTACCCCAATGAGTCTGGAGTGAGCAGGCAAAAGTTGCCACCACCAGTGTCCGTCCGTTCCTCTCCCCCATTCAGTAGCCAATAGAAAACCGAAAATGGTTTTTTGCTGCCATGGCTAGCCAGGAATTAAGATTACAGCCCAAGACTATAAAAGGCTGAAACAAATACAGTGGTACCTTGGGTTACATACACTTCAGGTTACAGACTCCGCTAACCCAGAAATAGTACCTTGGGTTAAGAACTTTGCTTCAGGATGAGAACAGAAATCATGCTCTGGCGGCGCGGCGGCAGCAGGAGGCCCCAATAGCTAAAGTGGTGCTTCAGGTTAAGAACTGTTTCAGTTTAAGAACTGACCTCCAGAAAGAATTAAGTTCTTAACCCGAGGTACCACTGTAATGTCATAATTCAATAATTTAAGGTGATCAGTAGGATCTATATTTGAATGTCAACGTTGTAGCTTGCTGAATCTTTCCCCTTCAACCTGTCATTAAATAATTATGTGAAGCTAAAGAGAAGGGCGGGGGATGTCTTAGGCCACAGTTATCTTGGGAGGTCCCCATGATCACACAAGCCCTGTTGAACAACAGCCATACAAGACTTCACAAATGCTGCTAAAAATTACTTGGCAATATTTGCTAGGAAACAGGATTAAAAATCCCAGAAACATTTTATTAAAATAAGAACACAAGAAGAGCTATCTAGTCAAGCATCCTCTTCTCACAGTGGCAGCCAAGTGCCTGTGGGGAGCATAATATTAACATAAAATTAAAATGTTACTTAAAAACAAAAAACCCCTTGAATTTTAGTTTCGCAGGAAGTAACCATTTTCTTTGCCATGTTGTATAAAGTGCAACTATTTTTCTAGAATTTGTTTCTATATTCATTTGCTATTTGCACTCATAAATGAGGTGTTATTTTCGCTGCTTTAGCCAAATCTCAAACTTTATTAAGCCACTGTTTCCAGGGAGGGTATATGTAACTTTCCATTTTCAATCCAATAACATTCTTGCAGCTATTAACAAGTAGAAGTTAATAGGTAAATAAGTTATGATAGGTGAAGAAATACTTTCTTTTGTTTGTCCTGGAACTTGTAACATTCATTGGATATCCCTGAGTTCTGGTGTTATGAGAGAAAGAAAAGCTTTCCACTATCCACTTTCTCTGGCTGATTTTATACACTTGTTTCATGTTTTCTCTAAGCTAAGAAGCCCCAAATGTTGTAAACTTCCCTCAGAGCGGCTCCATCCTGTTTATCACCCGCTTTTCAGAACCTTTTCCAACTCTACAGAATACTGTTTTGATTCATATCCCTACTATTTTTTAAAGCAGACTGTCTGCTATATAGCTTGCCATCTGCGTTGTAATCCATCACAGGAGATCACAATTGAATTAATAAAACAAATAAATATTACAAATATGAATCTAATTTCTGAAGATTGTTCTTGGCAAAAAGAACAATTAGTATTTTATTATTTTAAAATGTATTTCTATGATGCCTTAACATGACCCAGAAGAGAGAGAGACTTCATTGTAGTCTACACTTTGCTCAGTTCGGTTTTTTTGTTTTGCAATTGAGTTACAATTAGAATACTTGCTGAAATACCCTTAGGGCACGTCAACACGCTTTGCCCTCCCTCTGTAGCCACAGACCAACGTTGTCCCGTTCTCTTGCCAATGCTGGCGGCAGAACCATGAAGAGTCTCCATGCAGTGGTGCCAATTGATGTGTTGAGTTACAGCATGCAATAAACTTGCACACTGTGGCTGATCTAAATGCTTCCACTTGGAGGGCCTAAGGCATGAGATCCTAAAAGCTGGCCCTGAGGTTAAGGTGAATGGGAGCTGGCTGACACGAAGCATGAAATTGTACCTTTGGCTGTGAATTAGTTGAGCAGAGCTTTAGAAGAGTCAGTGTGAATTAGTTGAGCAGTGCTTTAGAAGAGCCAGTGTGGTGTAGTGGTTAAGAGCAGTGGACTCGTAATCTGGGGAACCGGGTTCGCGTCTCCGCTCCTCCACATGCAGCTGCTGGGTGACCTTGGGCTAGTCACACTTCTCTGAAGTCTCTCAGCCCCACTCACCTCACAGAGTGTTTGTTGTGGGGGAGGAAGGGAAAGGAGAATGTTAGCCGCTTTGAGACTCCTTCGGATAGTGATAAAGCGGGATATTAAATCCAAACTCCTCTTCTTATTCCTTGCAAAAGGGTGGATGAATATTCATTACGGCCTTACTTTCTTCTTCAGTTCTGCGACCTCTGCAAGCAGGTGCTGCCCTCAGAATCCCCTGTGGTATATGCCAGCAGAGGAGGCTATGATCGTCAGTGGCATCCCGCATGCTTTGTGTGCTGCAAGTGTTCTGAACCGCTTGTGGACCTGATCTACTTCTGGAACAATGGGGCCATCTGGTGTGGGCGTCATTACTGTGAGAGCGTAAGGCCACGCTGTGCGGCCTGCGATGAGGTATGACAGCTGGGGAAATGGAAGTCTCTTCTCCTGCATAGCTCTGAATTTCTCTGCCTATAAGAAACTATCAGCTCTGAGAGATTGCGTTTGGCCGAATGCCTCTGCAAAATGAACACTTGCCTCTAGTATATGAGTGCTTTTTGGGTGGGGGTGGGGATTTTGGTGGATTTGAGGAATAGAAAATGGAACAGGTGAATGGGGGTGGAACCATAACTACTCAAGGAGGAACCTGCTTAGTACCAGGTACAGAAATCTAGGGAGTGGTGTGCAGCTTTGAAAAAAGTGTGAGTAAAATGACTTCTGCTTGCACAAGTGAGCTTTCCTGTCCCACACTGTCCCCAGAGGGTTGGAGGAAACCCTAGAATAGATGTAGGGGTCAGGTGAGGGAAGAGGAGAAGGGGAAAGTCCCATTGCACAGCAGGTCGTTCTGCTTGCACAAAGGACCTCAAAGCACCACATTAAATTCAACTCAGTGGTCTGATTTGCCTAACATGGTGAACTAAACTATGACTTACCAGGACCATGTCAACATGCAAGTTCTTGGAGATGATCTCTCAGCCACTCTACTCCTCCCTCATCCGTTTTGCTCCAGGGACTTTTGGATTTGTGTTTGCCTTAGCTTGTTATCTGAAACTGGGCTGATAGTTAACCTCTCTCCTTGCTAACCATGAGCTGTTTGAAGTATATTTAAATCACGGAAACCAGAAGCATTTTAAGGTGCTCTTTTTTTTGTTTCAGTTTTATTTTAATAAGCAGAGGTTCTATAAAAACCGAAAGCGGAATATAAACATGCCCTACAGCTTTGAATTAGCTAGGCCAAACTACTTCCGTAGTATATGTTGAGAGATATCCTCTTTTGGTGTGTTGCTAAATAGTAATGATGCAAACACGGCTTTGTTTTATATGTGTTTTGGCTTGTCAACTACTTTGTTTGTGTGTTGCTTCCATAATGAAGCAGTTATAGGACTTGGCTGGCTCTAGGAAGAAAGTGACATGATAAATGGAGTTGTTTACTTCCACAGATAATATTTTCTGAGGACTACCAGCGAGTCGAAGGCCTCACCTGGCACAAGCAACACTTTACCTGCCTGGAGTGCGAGACCTTGCTGACAAGCCAACCATTCATCCTGGATGCAGCCAACCTGCTATGTACAACTTGTAGCAAAAACAAGCATCCTTAGTCGGCATGAAGTTTCTCAAACCAAAGTTTTCATTTTCTGATGCCATCCAGATTTGAATTAATGGGATAAAAACACAGGGAAGGGGGGGACAAGTGAAGAAAGCCACTTCATAGTGGCTTTGGACTACTATGGCTATTTACAATCATGTTATCCTGGGAAATGAGTTGGGAAATGATGACAGGGTTGCAAACACATCGGGGTGAAATCTAGAGAATGGAATGTTCTAGTTCTTTCTAGAGAGATAAAACTAACCTTCTGGAAACCAATGCCCATAATGTTCAATTACTGATTGCCTGCATGTTACAATAACTAATCAAGGGTCTCTAGAAACATGCAGAATTCTTAATTTTGCTGTCGGGGCTCACTACCTTTCTTGTTATGAAAGTGTTATATTTATAGATCGAAACCACCACACTAACTCCAGCCAAATTAGTGGCTTTAAAGAATAGAACTATGTGGCAAAATGTATATAACCCTGACGTTCACAAGAACTTTCTCTTCTTTGTTGTAATGACCGACTTCTCAGATGCAAGGGATCTGCTTATTAACTTGTGTTTACAAGTCAAGTACTGTTAAGATTACTATAGTAAACGGTTTGTCTTCATGTTCGTCAAGATATTGGTGTAATAATGGCTTGTACAGGGTGATTGGAACAGATGTATATTGCTACTTGCATTCAAATAATTCTAGCTATAGCTGTTCTTAAAACAAAATGTGTTTGCCTTATGCTTAGCTTTCAGTGGGCTTTATGGGGATGGACAAATAGTTTGTGTTGGTTGTTAGTCTGTCCCGTATATTCTTTTTCTCATCCCAATTAGTTTTTTACCCAGTTTCATACCTATAAAAATCTGCCACGTGGAGCAGTTCTATTGCGACAGCCAAGAGACAGGAAGGAGTGATGAGTAACTGGTTTGTGCTCAACAGTTTCTTGACTCTCTTTTAACTCCACTCCCTCTATTTATTTTCATTGAAACTGGAGGATGAGCTCAAATGTTGGCATAAACACACCTGCTCATATGCTTTGGTGACTTAGAAATAATAATGAACCTGGGCATTATGTCAACTCACTTACTATTTGGTCTCAGCTACTGGATCCTATTATAGATATGGAGACCTTCAAGTCCTTCTGAATCTTATTCTGCCTAATGTTTATGATGAGACTCTCATCAGCTTAAACTGTACGATGTTAAGAAAACAGCATGTGATCATGAACATTATCCAAGGCACATCCAACAAGATGTGCATTGACTCTTGTGATAAGAGTACATTGGAATATGTAAAGTCTATCTAGTTCCTAATCATTCATTTGCTTGGGCTTAGCAGCAAGGCCAATATTAGTTGCATGTCTTTATGAAGCTGAAACTTTAACTCAGATTAAGCCCATTTATAACAGATAACCAAGGGAGCCCTCAGAAGCTATAGAAACAATTTTGTCGTTACTAGTTCTGTAAATATTTGGTTTGGTTGACTAGTCCAGCAACAATCGCCAATGTACTGTGATCACCTGTCAGGATACAGTGGGAGCAGAAGTTACTTGAGGTGAAGAACTGGAAAATAATTTCAATTAATTCTTCTGATTTGAGACATAGCACATATTAGATGCTTGTATTTTGCTTTCAGACATATAATCAGTGTGGCTGGTTAAAGAATTTATGGAAACTAGGTATGTACAAAGCATAAGCTTCTTCAGTAAATTTAGTTTTGGACAACGTTTTTTGACAGCACAGGAGAACTCCATTCGGCCTGTTATATATGCACAGTGAGTTTCTAGGTTGAAAATAAAAACTGCAATCCGTTGATGCAACTAGGCTGGCAAATCACCACCAGTTATGACTGAGAAATGTGTTCCATTGTAGTATCTCCAGTTGACACTCCAAGTAATGTGTAAATAAGACATAATGGCTTGTGGAACACAAATACCTGCTCAAGAGCCATTGCAGTGTGTGCCTCTGAACTTGCTTGGGGTGCACTGATTTCAGTAGTGCTTACCTGTGACATCTACCTGTGGCTGTAAATGTAAATGCACCAGTGAATATATTCATTTATTTACCCTGCCCCTCCAATGTGAGTACTTAAAATCTGAAGCAAAAATAAAATGCACAGCTTGTTTGGGCAATGGTAACTGGTAAAAGAAGGAAAAATCCCCACAATTTTATATATGATTTCACCTGGTATAAAAATAATTACTTTAAAATCAATGCAGGACTCTTAACACTTAAAAAAAATTATTATTATTTTTAAGAAGCCTATTGAAGTGTCAATACAGCTCCAATGCAGACATCTATAGGGATGGTATTTGGGTGTTCAGCCAGTAGAGCCAGTGTGGTGTAGTGGTTAAGAGGGGTAGACTCGTAATCTGGTGAACCGGGTTCGCGTCTCCACTCCTCCACATGCAGCTGCTGGGTGACTTTGGGCCAGTCACACTTCTCTGAAGTCTCTCAGCCCCACTCACCTCACAGAGTGTTTGTTGTGGGGGAGGAAGGGAAAGGAGAATGTTAGCCGCTTTGAGACTTCTTCGGGTAGTGATAAAGCGGGATATCAAATCCAAACTCTTCTTCTACTCTTCTTCTCTTCAACACACATACACATGCACCGAAAACCTGTGACCTTCCAGTTGTTGTTTGATTCTTAGTCCCATCATCATTTTTGACCATTGACAGGGTTGGTTTGGGCTGATGGGAATTGTAGTCAAACAGTATTTGGAAGGCTGCAGATTCCCCATCTCTGCTGCAGAGAGATGGACCATGCGGTACATGGGTCAAAGGAGCAATAGCCTCATCAAAAGCAGGCTGGACTTCCTATAATGCCTCAGAATGGATTGTAAAGATGGCGTCCATGGTTTTGTAGCATTCTGCCACATAGCAGTCTGTGAAGTCAGCTGCATCAAGTATGATCAGATTTGCATGTAATCCCATTGCACATGTGTTGCAAAGGATGCTACCACAGTCACTGGCATATGAGGGGGGGCAGGGGAGCACACCACCCCGGGCACCATTTGGGAAAAGGTTTCCATCACGGCTGCCCCCCCTCCCGGACGCACGCTGCGGCCTCCCGGGACACGCACCACACACTGTGCAACCCCAGATGCACATCATGCCCCTGCGTCACTCGCCCCGCCCCCGCGGGTGATGCATCATGTCCCTGGGACGCACACCGGCCACACCCTCGCTCCGGGGGCTGCAGCATGTTGCTCCGCCATTGACCACAGTGCTAAAAAAAGTAACCCATTGCATAAGTTTGGCAGGATGTCTTCAGGCGAATCACATAGTTCTGATTGGACAGTCTGGGCAGTCGGTTTGATGGGGACAGAATTCACCAAACCCTGACCCCCCCATACAATCTATCCCCCTTTTTCTTTTAATGGGGACTGCAGGTGAAATAGCACATGGAGAATTATGCCCATCACCTCAGCGCAGGTAGTTTATATGTGTATAGTGTGAATAATAAAGAAATAGTCATGTTCTTTTAAGTTGTGGAGCTTAAAATATCTAATACTTCCCCTAACATTAACTGACAAGACATGGAAAAAATGTTTCTAAATGCTTAAATATAAAGTATTCGAAAAAATAAAATTTAAAGAAATGGAAGCCTTTTGAGACGTGTCTTCATCACTTTTTTATCTTGGCCTTTAAGCAACTCAGATGTTTTTAAAAAGTTTTTCCTGAAAGGAATATACTATGCAGAAGGGGCAGAGTCAGAAAGGGGAGAAGGATAATGCTGGCAATGCTTTCACTCTCAGATTTGGAAGGCTGGAGTTCAGGCCTCGGCCCTCATCTTGTCACCTCATAGTTGAGAGAGAAGAGAAAGCAATAATAGATGAGCGGCATGTGCTTGAAACTGTCTTTTGGTCACATTAGAATGTGGAATTCATTTAGAGTCACCTTTAAATGTGAACTTACCTGCTTTGCTCTTTTCAAAACACTGCCATACTTTGAAATTTGCACTTCTCTGAATTTTTGCAGCTCTCCAAGCAAGGAATGTGTACAAAAAAAATAGACTTGAGGTAAAGTGTGAATAAAAACAAATTCATTAGTGAAAATAATGTTCAAAAATGCATTATTTGGGGAGAAATTGTTTTCCAAAAATATGTATATTAGGTAGAAATTGCATTGAAATGTTGGTGCATTTTCACAAGAGATATAAAAGAAACCCCCCCCCCAAAAAAAAAACCCAACCCCAAGGCTGCTGTGGAAATGTGGATAGCTGAACATAAAGCTGGACTAATGAGAAACTGAAACACCAATGGGGACATATGCCCATCCCATTGAAGAGGTGAAACGATGGAGAAAATGCATGGAAAGAGATACACTGCTCAAATAGGAGACTCCCTTCCCTCACCTCCATCAGACAGTTGCTGAGGGTTCGTGGTGTATACAGATCAGTTCTGGGACAAAACCTGTTTTTAATAACATCTCACAGCTGGTTCTCTCTGTGTAGTTATACCTAGATTCAAAGATAAGCCGTTTTACTTTAAATTCTACCACAGAACCACTCTAAGAGCTGTGACATAAAACCCAGGCTGTGTATGAATGAGTGAGAGGTGCAAAAATTCTAGCAGACCTGTGTTGGACGCTGCTTCAACTTAGTGAATAAAGTCTCCTTTTCTGTAAAGCAGACATATTTGGTATGTTGCCAACTATATTCCAAGAGCCAGGCAGAACAAATGGTCTTTATAGTGAAGACAGGAAAAGGCCCTGCAAATTGTTTTCAATCCTCTCAACCTGATTATCCCATTGGGTTTGAAATTCTACTTTTTTTTTCCTTCTGTGACAATGGAAAATTAAAATTAATGGCCAGTTGTCAGCAACTCTTGTTGATTATTAGTTATATGATGATGAGAATTCTAAATTACTCAGAAGGTGAGCCTCTAGACTTTTTTTTTTTTTTAAGAAGAGAGTAAGCAGCAAGATCTGCACAACAAGGCTACTTATCCCTGTGAAGGGGGGCTTTTAATTTTCTCCATTTTTTATGGTCCTCGGGCTACTAAAAAAGGGACCAATATGACTAACCTTACTGGAAATTAGATTCCTCTTAAGCAATGTTGTGTCAAACAGTTGTTATACCACACTTTCCAGTGCATTTCCCCATAACTTTCTTAAGTCTTTTTTACTTATAAAGAAATGTTTTCAAATGAAAATCAAGAGGAGGGACTTCCCTTAAATCAAATTAGCAAGTACATCAATCCCAGACACTTGGTAGCCAACCTCACTGCCTTCTGAACTTCAATTAAAGGCCAAGGGACTGCAGAAACGTTGAAGTTAAAACAGACACAAAACCTGCCACCTCACAGTAATAAGGAAAACTCCACACTGCATCAAGGAAAAGGCTAAAGGAATTCTAAAGTAACCTGCAAATGAGGGAGAAAAACAGAAGATTTGTTTGCAGGGCAAGAAAACTGAAGGACAGATTTTGCCATAGCCATAATCTCTGTATTTTGTATTTCACTTACCTGTCTGCTAGCATGTCCTTGCTTTCTGCTTAAGTATTGATGGCTGCTAGTCTTAATGGCTCTCTGCCACCTCCAGAATGAGAGACAGCATGTTTCTGAATAATGGCTGCTGGAGACAACAGGAGAGGATTGCCTCTAGTCTAGCTTGTGAACTAGGCTTCCCAAAGGTATCTGGTTAGTCACTGTGGAAAACGGAGTCCTTTAGTAGACAGGCCTATGGATTTATCCAGGAGAGCTTTCCTTATATACTTATGTTTGATCTGAACCCCATTCCCCCAAGCTTTTTTTCTGGCTACCCCCCAAAACTCACTGATTTTGGTACTCTTGCCGCTGCCCCCCCCCCAGCAGGAATGGCGGACACCTCTGCCTGGCTCAACATGCTGACGGGGATAATTATTTATTAAACCACAGAGCCTAGGACTTGCCAATCAGAAGGTCGGCGGTTCAAATCCCCGCGATGGGGTGAGCTCTCGTTGCTTGATCCCTGCTCCTGCCAACCTAGCAGTTCGAAAGCATGTCAAAGTGCAAGTAGATAAATGGGTACCACTCCGGCGGGAAGGTAAACTGTTTCTGTGTGCTGCTCTGGTTCGCCAGAAGCAGCTTAGCCATGTTGGCCACATGACCTGGAAGCTGTACGCCGGCTCCCTCGGCCAATAAAGCAAGATGAGTGCCGCAACCCCAGAGTCAGCCACGACTGGACCTAATGATCAGGGGTCCCTTTACCTTTATCTATCTATCATCTATCTATCTATCTATCTATCTATCTATCTATCTATCTATCTATCCCACCCGCTCTGGGCGGCTTCCAACAAAAGATTAAAAATACATCAAAACATCCGTCATTAAAAACTTCCCTAAACAGGGCTGCCTTCAGGTGTCTTCTAAAAGTCAGGTAGTTGTTTATCTCCTTGACATCTGATGGGAGGACATTCCACAGGGTGGGCGCCAGAACCAAGAATGTAAACTGCCTGGATGTAAACTGCTCCTTCCTCAGCCATCAGGGATAAATCAATAATCTCCCTCCATGGATCACATGAGGAGAGCTGCTTGTGAGAGTAAAGGATGGTCTCACCCACTTTTGGCCAAACCAGCCATGGCAAGTGGTCCGTAGAGCTTTGGCCCAGTAATGAATGCAACCAAAACCTGTTAGCTACCTCTGTTTTAGAGACCTTTCATGTCAGCATATAGAGATCTCTATAATAATAATAATAATAATTTATTATTTATACCCCGCCCATCTGACTGAGTTTCCCCACTATGACCATGAGGTCATGCGCTAGATTATGTGTATTTCAGTACACATAAGGTTAAAGCATACTCCTATCACGTAGCTGGGTTGTTTTGGTTTGTCTAAATTGTTAGGAGGACATA